CAAAAGACCACCTAAAAGGTGGGAAAACATATTCACCCAAAATCAAGAAAATGGGTCACGTGCACCCAAAGCAAGAAAACCAATTCCAAGTAAAAAAAATGCTAGTAAACAACCTAAAAGTGACAATTGGAAATTGAATTCCATTATCCATGGAAAATGGAGACCTATCAAATAGGCCCTTACTATTTTAAGTAACAAAAAGCAACATATACAAACATGTTTGGAAACAAAGTAAGTTTTACTTTTTTAAAAAAACAAAATTGATGCAAAATAAATAAGCGGGTCTTCTTCTTTTGTACCGATTCAAGAAGAGGTATAAAACGTAAACCTCCTATTACATTAACATCGAAAGAATACCCAAAAATCCCAATCTAAATACACAAAGAAACACTAATGAATGATCGGCCACTTTCCACGTTTGGAGCAAGAATTGCATTATATGTTCTGTTTAGTATGTTTGAATGACTTTACTTTTCATAGAAAATTTCATTTTTCTCCCATATTTCTACTTTTGGGATGTTTGATCGACAATTTTTTTCATGAAATATATTTTCCAACTTTTTTTCATGTGACCATATTTTTCTCAAAAATAAGAAAATCATTTTCTTTGGATATGAGTGGTTTTTATTTTCCAGATAATTCACTCTCTCTTATCTATCATTTCTTTCTCACTTACCCACCAATAAAAAATAGACAAATATAATATTTTCAAGGTTGAAAACTAAATCAATTAAACACGTTTAATTAATAATTTTCATACAAATAAGTTCTAAACAATTAAATTGTCTAGAATTTATTTTATTTTCATGCAAATTTCATACTTGCAATCTAATGCAACCTAAAATTAATTTTTTTGTTAATAGGAGAACATTGAATATTTTATTTAAGAAAAATAAATAATTTGAAAATAGTTTTCACTTAAGGAAACACAGTATAAAATATTTTATGTGCAATTCGCCCTTATGTCAATCCATGTCATAGAATGCAAATCTTTCCTCCATTAAAGGTAAATTGAACTTGCAACATGAAACAATTTATAAAATTTTCGTGTTTAATATGTTAAATTAAACAAGAATAGACACGTGTGCCTTTATCTCTATTGAATTCAGTTCAGTCAAACCGCAACCCTTTGTTTGAGAAAATTAATTGCATTGAGAGATGTGGTGCATTGAGAAACCCAAATGCACGACTAGTGAAGAAGACAAACCAAACAAGGAGTAACGGAATTGCAAAAAAAATTTAAAAATAAATAAATAAATAAAAATTTTGTTTCTGTATACTCATTTTAACAGTGCATCACCTTTTTTTCGCATTCAAATACTTGTAAAATCCCATCTGAACCCCCAGCAGCCACCAGTGTGCAGCGGTCATCCCCGGTTTGCCGCCAGCAAACGCTGCTAACAAAACCCCGGTTATATCCCGGTCCTCCGCTGCCTGCAGCGGCATCCACCACTGGTTCAAATCCCTGAACCCATACTGGCTTACTCCATCTTTTGTCATATACAAAAACTTGATTATTTTCTGAGCCACAGCATAATAATCCACCACCCCTCCAAACTGATAAACCAACAAATCTTCTGCCGTTTATGTGCCCTTTGTATGTTCGGATTATCCGATGATTTTCTGAATTCCACATCTTCAAGCAGCCATCAATGGCGGATGTTATAATGGTCTGAAAAAGTTCTTTAAATTACATTCATTGACCTTTTTGGTGCCCATCAAATACGAAAACCGAGTCAGCCATTCTTCTTATATCATAGCCATAGACTTTGCTGTCCGCGCAACCCACCACGATCAATGAACCGTCGAAAGGATTGAACTCAACGCAACAAACTGGGCTGCGCGCAATGGTATTCGGTTGCACCGCTGCCAAACACTTCCCTCCGTCGCCGCAACGTGGGTCCCACATCTGCATAGTGCCATCGTCGGATCCGGATGCACCCAAAATCGGATCCCAATGCGAGTAGTCCATGCTCCATACCCGTCTCCCACCATGCTCATCCCTCTCAAAAATAGGCACTCTTCTCTCAAGATCATATTCCATCACAACCCCATCGTAATCACCCGATCCCAGGACCCGTCCACCCAACCCGGGCTTCCACCGCAGGCTGCTGAGCTTCGCCGGAGTACATATATAATAATCACATGCAGTAGCATGATCCAGTAATGTTACACCATGAGTTCTTGAAATCCCTTCATATGGTAAAAGGGATTTCACACTGTAAATTCGAATCTTCCTTGCTATTCCACCAGTGGCCAAAAAACTATCACTGGGGTCGAATTCTATAACACCTACTGTATCAGAAACAGCTCCTCCTTTAATAGCGGAGGAAGAAACTACAGTTGAAAGATTGAATTCCCACTCACATCTGGATCTCTCTTCCTCTTCCTCATTTTCTTCTTTTTCGAATTCTTGTCTCGTTTCTGGGATTTCTTTGTTGGGTTCTTGGAGAAAATGAGATGAACAATGTTTCATTGCCCATTCGTATGGAATTGACGCGACTGTTGAGTGATAGTGGTGGAGAACGTTGGAATTTTTGGCTTTCCAAACAATGAAAGGCTACTATGGGACCTAACTTGGGTATCCATGTATCAAGTTGATAGTTACGATGCTTATTCCTATTATATTCTCTCCTATTTCTTTTTCTTTTCAAAATTACAATCTTTTCCATAATTGCCCTTCACATCTGAATCTATAGCAATAATGCCATCTATGATATATGTAAATGATCTATTAAGCACAAATAATAAGTTTAATTCAAATTTTAAGACCCACCATAAATTTATCCACCAATGAGTTCATATATCATGTTAATGGTATTTAAAATTACAATCTTCACATGTGAGAGTGCGTGTTTGTGACTTGTTCGGTCATTGCAATAATTACTTGTAAAATAATAGAGTAATGCTATATAGTATTAGTGGTATAGTATGACTAAATGACACTAATGCATATGACTCGTTGTCCAAAAGTGAAATGCATCCAAACTCATTAAAAATGGGTTGTAAAACAAAAGTTTCGATTTCGTAGTAAAAGTAAGGATTTAAGCTGAACTGCTTTGACCTTGATTCAATATATAGATATAATTCACCTGCTTTTGTCTAGATAAGAATGACTATTCGTGAAGAAACATAAGGAAATTAGGGCAATGTTCAGTACAAGCCCTAATATAAAAAAGGGGGAATTCGAAAATAATATAAAGTAGAAAATGTGAATTGAAAGAGTTTGAGACAATTCTCCTTTTTATCGTAATATAAAGCAATGTTTATGGCCCCATGACACATCTTCAAGTAGTAAAATGGGAAGGTGAAAAAACTCTAGTTTTGCTTGATGTTGCCGCGTCAAGGGTTCGAATCCTGAAATATGGATTTTGCCATTGGGTAAGTGTAAGTGTACAAGCAATCTTTCACTCTGTACCCTTGGAGGCATAACCTGCGATTTACCTCCTTCACCAATACCTAGCGCAAGACAGGTGGGGGCCGCTAAGGATGCGGTTCATCCTGTTTATTTATAGATTATTAGTCGAACCTTGGGGATAAATGGATCTTTTTTGTTAGTGATATGTGGTGGCCATTGATTGGTTGATTTGTAACTAACTCACTCTCGTGTCCTTCATTTACTAGTTATGAAGTCGGGATTTGCACCCTCATCATTCATGTACGCTTTGACGATGCTTTTTGCTGATGTAGAATAATTTAGGGTCCGTTTGATTGCAAGGGTGGAAAATGGGTGGAAAGAAAATGTTTTACAGGGAA